AAAGTGCCATATGATGCATCGTCCACCCCAATATTTAAGCCTTTTAGCTTTTGTTAGAGTCCTTAGGCAACGTGTGCAAAGACAGTGCTCAAGCCGCCTCTAACAGAACAAGGGATCTGCTTAGATCCTCCTCCATATCCTTTAGCTTGCTAACGAAGGCTTAACTGCTGCTCCTCAGAGGTCTGCCATTTGGAAATAAACTCACAGACTGGCTGTGGTCGAGAGAGGACCTGCTCTCATCTTGGTGAAAAAGAAATATTTCTCGGCCTCAAATCAGAAGACAAAAGAAAGAGAATGTCACTTATGATTTAGAATCAGTTTGGTCAGCGGCGGATACGAGGAGGGAGCAGAGTGGTTGGAGGAGGAAACCGAGAATTTGAGAAGATAGAGGCGTGTTTCCACTTAAAAGACGTTATTTCAGTGAGTTGCTTTTGCAATGCAGCTGATGCTGATGCAATAAAGAAAGAGGGAAATGAAAGTCCAAGACAAATTCATACAAAGCAGATTTTTGCCACTTTCAGTCAGCGGGAAGAATTAATAATTCATCCCACTGACTGTTAATTGACAATTAATTGTGCAGGGTTTTGGCAGCCAAGCTGCAGGAGGGAGTCATGTCAGTGAAGGTCAAAGGGAGAAGTGCAGCCTGTGAAGTTAGTGAAGACTGCAGACTCTGCAAGGCAGTGATAGTGTATATAGAAACCAAATTAAAAGGGTTAGTTGTGAACATGGAGGGTGGTATATGTAATATTAACAAACCCAATAGAGTTAAACAAGTGTAGGAAACTGAAACAGGGACTGAGTAAAAATAAGACAGGCATAGATCTGGTGTAATGTTGCTCTCTAATTGAGAAAGGACAATGCTGTAGGGCAGAGACGTTGCTTTGAGGAGAGACTGAGGCATTGTGGCGCATACAGACAGCAGCAAGTGTTTCTGTCTGGTCTGAGGTGATCAACGTGCAGCAGGCAGCACAGAAAGGCAGAGGGGAGATGGGAGAGATGAGCTCTGGGGTCCTAACTGCCGACTGACAGCTCCAGCATCCTGTCTCTACAATGGTCTGAGGACAAGACAGGCAGGGAAGGAAAGAGTAATAAAAGCAAATAGGCCGACTGGCATGGATTTACTCCTTTCTCAGAGGACTCCTGCTGTCGAGTTTTTGTGCAGCTCTTTGTGCAAAGAGCGCACATTACAGAAACTGCAGCTCTGTAGTTCAACTACAGGAGCAAATGCTGAGGAAAAAAGTGATATTAATGCTGAGTGTAATAATAACAGGGGTGATAAGCTCAGTGGAGGAGGCAGTGTCGCTCTTTATAAAGACAATGAGAAATAAACCTACAGCAAAGCATCTGTCAGCTGACGGATGACAGCGAGGTAAAAGCTAGTTGCAGCTTACTCCCAAGAGGCAGCAAACAGAGCTCAGGAAGCTCATGATAGTTTTAAGGCAAAGAAACATTTTTCATTTCTATAACACTTTCCTTTTCTGTAAATGGAAAGTCACTGTGCTTTACATGAAAGTACACAGGGCAACGAGTGATGTGATAAATGTGCTCAACCACACAATCTCCGAAAGACACAGACAAAGCACACACACAGATGAATGCTTTAGATTTCTTCATGGTCATGCCTCAGATACATTCATTTCTCATACAAGGCTGTCTCTTTATTATCTTTATTACTAATTTCTATTAATCTAATAAATCCAGAAATCTCTCTCTGCTAACATATCTCACGTACCGTTCATCTTATCTGCTTCACCCTCGGCATGTGTTAAGGGTCCACTGAAGTGCAGTATTGAATTTGGTGCGATATTAACATGCGATGCATTCAATATTAATACAATTTGAATAGACACCCAAACTTTGAATAAACAGTCGAGGAGCTATTTGTGTAGCAGCAGTGGCCTAAGTGTTCCTCTGCCTGAGTCCAACAGTTTGTCTTTACTTGCTGCGGCTCAATTCCTGCAGGTCACTTTTACAGTTTCCGAAAGAAAGCTGCAACCAGCATTTCCACAGGCCAAGAAAACAGCCCATTCCAAACAGGTATGTTTACAAAGGCCACTGCACGAGTACTATGACTAAATGAACCCTTTTATTCAAACTAAAGCTAAAAAATATGCTCTGATCTCTCCAGCAAAGACAATAATATGATATATAACGTTTCCCCTCACAGCACAGGGCAGACCTATTTTTAACACAGTCCATGGTACAGTTGTATTTACACACAATCTGTGGTGCAGACGTCGGTATATACAATCTGTGGTGCAGACGTCAGTATATACAGTCTGTGGTGCAGACATCTCTATATACAGTCTGTGGTGCAGACGTGTAGCAGAGCTGAGCTGCTGTGGATTCTCACTGGCGGGACTCAGAGCTTCCGCTAACTCAACATTCAGCTCAAACACAAGAATGACTGACAGGTTACTGCACTCTGCCTTCTCATTGCTCACTCCACAACACTGTTAGCAAGACACAGATTATGAGGTGTCATTGGTCAGCAGGTGTCCCTGGTTGTTACCATGGAAATACCGTTGGGCATGTGTCTGGATTGTTACCGTGGAAATACAGGTCAGCAGGAGTCTCTAATTTGCTACTATGGAATTATGGCTCTGACAATTCTTTCAAATTAAACGACGAAATGAATTGCTTGTCTATGCCCTTGACAGAATGATACACGTTTCTGGACCTTGGTCGTACTTTGTGTGTGCCAGCAGACAGCAAGTTACTTTATTTTGTTTTCAAACTGTCTGTGTACTTTGCATTGTGTGAGCATCTGCTGCCTGTGATCACTTAGTGGCTTTATTTTATCAAATATCTGAGCCGTTTTATAACATGACGTACAGCAGGGAGGACTGCCAGAGCTGAAGGAAAGTAAGAGGATGTAGTCAGTGCAGGACAGATATACAGTGGGGAGCCAAAGCATTCAGTGATTAAGACTATAAGTAGAAATGTATTACACTTGGAGCCAATAAAGTGATTTAAGTACCGGAGTAATGTGTTGCTGGATGTGTGTGCGAGGACTGTATAGTGAATAATCTGGAACCTTCCTTTTGTTTGTTTATGTAATCCAGTCATTTAAAAGAGATGAGATAAATGTAAGAAGCAGCTTCATTGAACTATGTTTTTTTTTTATGTTACTCTGGTTATTTAAAAAGCTGTCCTGTTTAAATTAGCCTGGAATACCTCCGACATCCCTGACTTATTCACAGTCTTAAATACAATGACTCTACTTTACAATATACGTGTTTTTCTTATCCAGCTGTATAAAACTTTCTTGAAATTCAGCTATGTGCAATTGTGTCATCTGCATATGAGTGATAAGTTATGTTCCTTTACAAGGTTGCAAAATTAGAACATGTACAAATTAAAATACATAGGTCCAAGAATTGATCCTTGGGGAACCCCTGAGATAATATTTGTTTAAGCAGATGTGAAACCACCTGGGGACACACAGTGTTCTGATACTGACAGCAGAAGCAGCATTGAGACAGGAATGATTTAGGGAATATAAAACAAATGTGTGTAAAAGTGTCATTATCCACTTGTTTATATTCAACATTTTACCATAAGGTTTCCACTCAGCATGGAGCTGTTGATAATGTTTAATACAGCGATGGGCAACACAGAGAGACAGAGTAACCGAGCAGACTCTTACTGGGCAAGTGTTAAAAGATTTTAAACTAAAACACCACAATAAATTACCTCAAGCGCTGTTCTAACTCTTAATTTCCTGACTCAACTGATCTCAGCCAGAGGACCATTGCTCTTTTACTTTTCTTATTTATTACCATAATTTCAGCAGGAATAATCAATATCTGATTCAGAACTCCAACTGCTGAGAAGGGAGGTTATGTTAAAACTGCTCACCTACTGATCTTATGCATAGTTTGCCGTGTAATATCTTGATCAACATATTCCTGAGATTTTCTGCTCACTTTAGTGTATTCTTCTACATTGTCTTGTGTATACTTGGCATTTTCTTTCTAGAGAGGTATTCAATGAGCTGAATAAGAAAACACTTGATATGCTCTACCGGTTGCACATTTTTCTGTATTACTTCTTGCATTACTTTGCAGTATAGCCTACAAATAAACCATGAACAAAGTGTAATAGTACTCTGAAATAAATGCCCCATGACATGCTCATCTCCCAGTAAGATGGAGGATTGGAGGGCAATTAAATTCGCATAGAGAGCAGAATGAGAAACAAAGATGAAGAAGAATCTGTGCCAAATACTGACTGTACTGTATGATTCGAAATGCTGATCAGATCTCCCTGAACATCTCATCCTCCCCAATTTGAAACTTCTTCAAACCTTAAAGTTGAAGAAACCAAGTAGTTTTTAGATCCCACGGATTTCCTCAGATCATTAATGAAGCAGAGCCTTTTGACTTCTGGAGACTCCAGCTCAGATTAACATTTAAGAACCTACGCCAAATGAAAAGAGCGTGTGCGCCCTTCAACACACTGATGCGCTTCTGTCCATTTGTTTTTGTTACGCGCGGACAATCTGCGGCTGAGGCGCTGTTCGTGGTGCTGAAAAGCAAAATGACGTCAACACAGTCAACCATGGCCACTACATGTTCATAAAGGATCTGGATCTTTTGACCTGATGGGACCAGATATATATATATATATTATGAAAAAAATATATATATATGTGTGTATTTATATATTTTTGTTGTTGTTGTTATTTTTAGCTATCTTGGAGAGCGTGACCTTGCAGGATCTGTCACTTTCTTTGTCTCACAGGACTGCTGGGTGGTTTGGTATTCTTGCAGTTCGGAGGACGTGTTACATTGCACCCAGTGTGTGGTGAAGCCACAGTTTATAATGAGGCCCCCGTATGTGTGTGCACTGCAAAGCTGTGGACTGGTGGACACCATTCTCCCGTTCGCACAGCGGAGGAGCTGTGACGCGTTTAGATCACCAATGCAAATGAGACTGACGACCCCTCCTCCTCTCCCCCCCACCTCCTCCACTCTCTCATCAACACACACACACACCGCCTGGGCTTTATATCGCCCTGCCAGCCTTTCAGAGTGACGGCACTGGCTGCGAGAGAGAGAGAGAGGGGGGAGAGGGAGAGAGAGAGAGCTTATATAACACCAGCTCTGGGAAATGCTGGAGCGCCGGGGGGACGTTTGCCGGACAATAACCGGGGAAAACGGCGACCACAGCGGCCACAGACTGAGATGCGGATGCTCGACACCGGGATGCCGTCGGACGCGCACCGCGGCTCAAGGTAAGGCTCGCACCTCCTCTTTACTGTAAATGGTGGAGGCACAGTGAGAAGCGTTTTTTAAGATGGAAGACCTCGTCTCCTTAAATAGGTGACGCGTGTTTACTCCCGCTGTTTATTCATTAATGCTTCGATCCCCTTCTTCCCACCGAGCCAAATCTGGCGGCGTGCTGGATATTTCAGGGACACAGTTATTTCGTGCGTAAAGATCCGGAGTTGAGCATAACTTGGCCACTCGGACTTGATCAGAGGCTGTTCATTGGACAAACTGTTGCTTCAATCCTCGGGAGCACCACCGCACCCCTACTTTTTATTTGATTTGTTTATTTGGGGAAGGGGGGTGTTAACAAGACAGGCCTAATGAAACTATAGAGCTGAAGGGCATGACGGCGTATGACGGCCACCGAGAGCTTAGTGGATATCGCTGGATGTGAAAAAGGGGGCATCTATTGAGGGGTGTACAGACAGACCAGCTTGCATGGGAAGTTGTGTTGGCTGTAAATGCAACCAGCTGTATTAAAGAGAAGGGGGCTTACATGAGACCATCGTGTCAGAAAGGCACGGACACAGACATCTGCAGGTCAGGGCTGCACCTCATTGCCCAAATCTTTAGTCAGTCCATCAGCATATCGCCCTGACATCACCAGGATGCTTGACACCCTGATTATCCCGAAATCTTTGCATGTTTTTCACCCACCAGTTATCCATCTCTCCACAGATGAGTCTGCTCTGATAATCCCCATCTCATAAGCGGCCCTAATGCTCTCTCCAGACAATTTTTTATCACATCATGTCATTCCAGTGATAACTGAGATTTAAAATGTGAAGCTGGGAGATACAGCGTTAAATTAAATATAATCTGACAGAATTAGGCCTTAATGAAATCTCTGCACTGAAAGAGAAACCGTTTCTAAAAGTCCTTCTTAGTAAAGGTTAATGTTGTTTCTTAATTCTAATAAAATGGATTACTGTGATAGGAGAGCAGTCTCAACATGCTGACAAAACATAGCCGAACACAACTTCAAGCAGGATTTCGAATTAGAAAACAAATGGCACCAATGAAAGCAGTGAAGCAGTAGGAATCCACTGCTGCAAGATAGAAGCACAACCCCATATGTCAACATCAGCTGTGCATCCCCATATAGAGTAAACCCTTCCCTTTGATTGTGCTACCATACAGATAAATAATCCTGTGCTTCAAATTAAACTCCTTGTGTCTTTCTCTGATTTTGTGCTTCAGCTTTTCCTAACGGATCACCCTGGAGACAGTGACCAGAGCCTGGATATTACATCCCTCTCTGTTGTAAAACATTCACTGTTCCTCTGCTGCTATTGGTCATTGTGGCAATGAAGGAACAAGACACACCATCTATACCACTGTCAGATGCTGATGGACTTTCTAAAAATCATGAAGTTCTAGGTAGGCTACACATCCATCTTCTTGCTCCCAATCCATGAACTGGCCTTTCGCTGAGGTGAGAGACAGTCAAACGGCGTGGGAATGGTGGCACCTCTCTACAAGCTGCACTGCCTGTTGAAGCGGGCTCAGATGCTGCTGCTCTGCCTGGGCATTGCCTATCTGATGGCAGGCAGCATCCTGCTCCTGCAGCGCTCCAGCATCAGAGTTGCCCAGCCAAACCTCGCCAGCCTGCCGCCCATGCTGTCCCTCGCAGCGCCTCCCACTGCCCTCAGGACAGCGGGCCTGGCCGTGAGGGCCCGCTCCAGATGGGCCGCCGTTCAGTCTGTCTCTGGAGGGGGAGCCAAGGCAGGGCGACACTGGCCTGCTTCCCGCAGCCTTGGGGTCCAACACTTGCATCGCCGCTGGTTTCACAGTCTGCTGCCAGAGAGTCCAGAGCAGAGAGTCTCTCTGCACAGGAGCAGCAGGCATAAGGGTAAATAACTATACAACTCTCACTGTTCTTGAGATACTGTATATATTTAATTTAAAAAAAACTCAAAATATGAATAATCAGTGTTAAGAGTTAGATTTGTCTCCACACTGAGTGAACATTGTTTTATATTCAGTCCAGGTCTCTATGGTAAATTAAATCAGAGGTGTAGCTTCTATAGCTTCCCTTATAGCTAACTAGCCAGAAGGCAAAGAAAGCAAAGCCACCAGTGTTAATATTCACATGTGACTACTGAGTGCAGCATGGCCTAATTACATTAATTAGTGCAAAAGTTAGGTGTTAACAGTATGGCAGTGATAGTTAACTATGGGCACTGCAATATGTTCAACGAGCTGACTAGCATTATGTGAATACAAAATTACTATTGCTCACCACAAACTGCACAAAAATAAATAAAGTCCAAATTTATTTTCTTGAGGTCGTAAAATTTTGATCAGCTACTTATTCTGCTTTTCCACAACTCATGATCCTCCAGAATGTCTGCCCCCAGATATGTTACCTGAGAGGCTTGTGGTTCTGTGGTCTCCTCACGAAAGCTAATGTGGTTTTGCCGATAATTAACTGCCTGTGTGTATCTGTAGCCAAGGTTGTGCACCTCTCCTGCCATTAAACAGGAGCAGATATCACTGCAGAGTCAATGAAAAAGATCTCAGCTCTAACACTATCTTTGCCATCTGAAGAGAAGCAGTGGAGGAGGATATGTGGGACTGAAATATCCTGGCGAAGATGTGTTGACTGAGACTGTGGTTTTCCTAGTGAATAATATATGAAGAAGCAAATATACAAGTTTATTTTCTATTCTGTGATTTACTTTTTTAGCTCAGATGGCCCTGGGGCTAGGTAACGCACTCTCTGCTTTCACGGCGCAGTCACATCAGACATTCTACATTTACGAATAGATGAGCATGACCTTAGAACATTTAGAAGAGCTTCATTATACATTTATATGACATTTTACGTGTGGGTGCCTCAGATCTTGTAGATGTGGGAGAGAGCTCACTGATCCTCTCGACACCAAAGGGGGAGGGGGCAGGCAAACACTAAAGAAGTTTCTAGAAAATAAATTAGTGATTATGAAGATAAAAATCATACTATTCCTTACTTGTACTCTCCGTCAAAGAGCCTTCACCGCTATACAGAAAGATATCTCTAGAGATGTACTTTATTGTTTAACGGTGCCTGTCATTGCCATAGCCATTTTGTTGAAATGATGAATACAGTGGAATTACTTTCAGCGGAACATTTGTTCCTCCAGCTCATTCTTGAAAAGCATCATATAAGGGCTCTTAATCCTTTTTTTAAACAGACACTACATAACCACTCAGTCAGTAAGCAGGGCAATAAAGATGAAAAATGTTAGGAGGCAGGAATGAGATCAGTTTCAGTAACAGCCATCTGGCAAAGGTTCCTGTTGAAAAGTATTACCTAGGACAGAATTAAATTAGCCAGGTCTGTTGCAGAGAAAAAACACTGGACTCCAATTTATGATATCACACATTAACATTTGTTTTGTTGATCGTTTGATAGAAAATGTACTATTCTGATAATCAATTAAAGCTTTAGAGAAATGCAACGTACTCAAAACACACAGAATTGCTTTCTCGCTGTGGGTTGGATGATCCACTGTCACATTAGTCCAGTAAATATCAAGCTTCAGCAAGCAGTAAGCTAGCTCAGCTTAGTATATAAGGCGTAGAGCAGGTTAGAGCTGCTAGCCTAAAAATCCATATCTAAAATATCTTGTGTGTTAAATTCAACCCACGAGTAGGAGCCTCGTCATCACCATGAGGTTGCCAGGCAACCGCAGAAGACCTCAAGTCAAACGAACAAAAAAGGTCTTAGGTCTTTAGATGCTTATACATGGATTTTCACCTTTGGACAATACTGTATACGCTTGCTTGTGTTTCTAGTTTCTCAGCTAAGCTAACCGCCTGGAGCTGGAGCTTATTTAAGATATGAGCGTATAGTGATATGAGAGTCACATCAATCGTCTCTGGTAAGAGAAGAATGTCAAACCAATCTTTTCAGTCATTTATTGATAAAAGACACTTAATCATTTCAGTTTGTTTCTGTAATTGTAAATTCAATGACCTTTTGTTTTTTTGACAGGTCAAATCAAAGATGCAATCTGAAGACTTCATCTTATTTGGTTGATAAGCAATTGACTAAATGAGTACAAGACTAATTTGACAGGAGCATCTAACGGAATGAATTTAATACAACCATCTTAAGCTGCAGCCGTAGTTTCAATGTGACACCAATGTCACATCCCATTTCAGTCTGTCTAAAATGGATTAAGATGCACTTCTTACTCAGCAGAATAAAAGAGAGGGAAATGTTTCTTTACAAAGTGAGTTAAGTAGAAACGCTAAAGTGGTAAATTGGGACTATCGTGATGTTGCAGTCACTAAACAGCTCTCATTAATCCAGCACAATGATGTTATTGAAATCTCACAGCCAAAGTCTCTGATCTAACTCCAACAGATACCAGATTTTTAAAGCAGATACATATGTTACAACAACATTTTCAAAATGTAAAATGTCCTGTATTCTACAGTGCGAAAATAAACTCGTAAGTGTTGGATAATCTACAGCAAGTAGCTTAAACCTATCTTTGTTTTGCTATCACTGAAAATATATTGACTGATGCAAACTTAACACCTAAAGATCATTGCACAATATGAGAGATTTAACTCCTGCACCTTTAATAAGTCTCCTCCCCTCTCTGTGTTGGTAATACAGTATTTGTACGTCTATGGTTTCAAATCTTTATTTCTTATATTTTCTTTACTCAATCTTTATTCACTGACACAGCAACATCACACCGCTGGGAACAAAAGTTTGCACATGTGTTTTCCAGTCTCAGATATTCAGAGATTCAGGAGACTGCCTACCTATTCAAACATTTTATAATAAAGGGGGGAGATGTATAATACTAGTATAATACTTTGTGTCTGCTGCTGGAATATTTGTACCTTGCAGGGGTGAGTCGCAAACTTCTTGATGTATAAAGTACATATCAATGTATTACATGCCCTGAGACTCAGAGGGATCAGAAGTAAGAAATATTGCAGTGGTTGCACAGTGAGAGTCACACTCTCTGTGTTGATATGTCCCAATACTTTGGATTAAGTTTGATTCACCTGATTAGTTTGAAGTAATCAGGAAGCGCAAGTGGTTTCGTTGTTATTTGTGGTCATTGAGCATTTAGGGGCGACTGCGGCTCAGGGGGTAGAGCGGGTCTTCCCATAACCAGGTTGTTGTTTCGATCAGCATGTTTGAGTCTCCTATGGCGCTCTCATCGAGAAAGTGCTGCACATAGATGCACTGTGTGAAAACTATAAGAAAGCTCTATACAAATACAGACCATTTACCATTTCAACATTTCATATCGAGACTGTGAACCTTCTTCAGCCTGTTTTAATGGACAAACACAATGCAAGCCTTAGCCCTCGCAGTAGCACATCTCCTTATACTCCGTCAGTCATTAGCCTCCTCCATCCTCTCCTGTGCGGAAGAATCAGCTCCAGCACAGCTATCTGTCTTAGTGTCTAAGAAAGCTACACAGTGTCAGACCTAAGTGTGGTCGTCCCTCCATTAACACTCAGCTGCGTCTGCCTGGGGCTTCTCCTTTACTCTGATTAAAGCAATGACCTGCCCTGCTCCGTGGAGGGGGTACAGGGCCTGGAGGTGATCTCTCTTGAGATGCTTCTTTCCTCAGATGTGGCAGACCTGGCCTCTTGGAGCTTTCAGGCAGCGGCTGCTTGTGTTCGGAAGACAAAGCAGACTGATTGAATCATGAATTCGATATGGTAGTGCTTGGCCTGCCAGAGATTTCACAGACCATTGCTTGCTTCCATCTTGTCTGTGAACCTTGCTGCCACATCTCTCCAGCCCTACTGACATGCATCTCCTCTAACACTCTTTAAATCCTGTCTTTGACCGGCTGGCATCAAGTCTTTTTATGCTCTCAGTAAACAGAAAGACACTGAATCCTCAGTGTCCTTGAAACCTTTAAAACGTCCATGAATACAAATGAAATAAACCTAAACCAGCACTGGTGAATTATCTGCATATATGCCATTCACAGAAAGAGTGACTTCCAGTAAAGAAACATCCAGCATATAGCCTAAAAATATTCCAGTCTCAGACCCAAGGGGCGAGATGTAAATGAAGCCAGTACACAAAGGAAATGCATACGCTCTCCTCCACATAGATATTTATAAAGGTATTTATAAAGAGACTTTAATGTGTCATCTGATATAGCTTTGATGTGGCAGTGTGGCAAAGACATGGGTAACATCAAACACTGAATTTAGGTGACGTTTTATACGGAGTCTTAATCTTGTCAGCACATCACAATAGTCTGTCGTAGCCTATTATGCATAACATGGAGATGATTTTTTTATTCCGCAGCGAGCAAATAAGTTCGCAGTAATGTGGGAATTAGAAAAATCTATACTGAATGATAAATTAGGCTTGGTCATGTTATAAATTATGGCTCACAATACATGCTGGTGTGTATAATTACAGCGAGTAAGTAGTGATGCGAAGGCTGCTCTGGCACAGTTAGACGACAGTACCAGTGCCAGGCTGGAGGCAGAGGAAGGCTGGTTTATGTCCAAATGTAGTTTAAGTAGAGTGTGTCAACATTCATATGCGTCTCTTAGAGCAAATTGTATTGTTGTCAAGCACATGCATGCGATCTTGATTTAAAGGTCCAGTGTGTAAGATTTAGGTGAAAGGGAACTATTGGCAGAAATTTAATGTAGAATAATCCTCATTATGTTTTCACTAGTTCATTTCATCTAAATTGTATGAAGTGTAGTTTTCTTTGCCCCAGAAAAGACCCTTTATATTTAAATACTTTATATTTACATTGAGGGGACCCTCTCTACGGAGGCCGCCATGTTTTTTACATTAGTCCAGACTGGACAAACTAAACATCTTTTGAGTTTTTATGACAACTGAAGCTACCAGAGGTTCTCCTTCATGTTTGGAAGGAGAAGTTGAGGTGAGGGGTTTTCAGCTGCAACATGCAACGTCAACAGTAGATATCACTAAATTCTACACACTGTACCTTTAAGATTTA